CACTCACGGGTGCAGCAGCAGCAGCAGCAGGGGCTGAGCATTTACCGTAGGTACCAGCAGTAGGTGATGCAGCACAGGGCCACGGTTCGAACTGTAACCCACTACCAACATACAGCGATGCGCTACACACACACACACACACACGCGGGCGACACCATCCAGGTTGTTTGGCCGAGCCTGTTTCTCTCGCTGCAACGCGCTTCAACATTTGACGCCCGTTACAACATTCGACATGTTCAAACACTTGACATGTTCCAACATTCAAGCACGAATCACAACGATTTGACATGTTCAACTTCGATGCATTCACATTTGAAATTGTATCAGCATATTTACCATTTCCAACACTTCAAAACTACATCCAACATACACAATTCAAATTTTAAATCTGTTCCAACATAAACACTTCCAACCATTTGTAAATGTTAACATTACTGGACGTTACAGATTCCCTGCCAACGGCAGCAATTACACCACTTACGGTGAAGAACGCGGGTCAGGAGTCGGCTACACCCGGACATCCACGTGTACGGATAAACAAGCTATACACACAACACACTATCACACCCACATTCACGCTCTCTCTCTCTCTCTGTCTCTCACAAAACCACACCAACACATGGGGACTCTCATACACTTCCCGTACTACCACGACATGCCCACACACACCAACATCCACCACAAACGCACTACAACGTACGCACATAAATGCTCACCAACACACACACCATCACGCACGCACAGCACCGCAAGCACGCACCACGCAGTCTTCAAAATGGGAACAGAGCTCACTGTTGTCTTACTCTCCTCTCTCCACTTAACGTTCGATTGCAATAGATTCTAATAATTTACACTTTTTTTTACCTCAATACAAAATAAAATCCTATATAATTGGACTGATCATATTCTAATAATATTGCTTCCCTCGCGGCATGGAAGAACAAGATTCATTTCTTCGGATACATTTACATTATGCGAGAAGTGCTAACTTCTCTCTCTCTGCGTCCGCCCTCGCCCGCCCCGCACCGCACCTACCGGCCCACTCCTGCTCATCCGTTGCAGCGAGGTACTTTCTTTTCATTGTTGCTTCAGACGAGAGGTCACAAAGATCCGAACTCTTCACGTAGCTCGGGAGAGGAGGGGGAGCGGGGAAAGTAGCAGTATTACAAGGGAGAAGCTCGTTATACCACACAGTTCAGAGACTATACGAAGACTCGGGCATCTATCGGCACACAGGAAACAAATACACGTTTCGAAAAGCACGGGATATAGCGAGAAAGCGATATTTTTTCCAGACTCGGGTCATGAACAACAGGACATTTTTTCGTTCCAGGGCGGCTTGAACCGGGAAGCGCTGACGGTGCCAGACGAGGATTGATCCACAAGCCAGATACACTATGTTCATACAACAGTGCCTTGTGGAAAAGCAAGGAAAACATACACACCCACAGTCACAAGGGGAAGCATCTTCTCTTGTTTCTCTCTCTTTCTCCTTATTATGTTCGCTCTCTCTCTCTTCTCTCTCTCTTTCTCTCTCTCTCTCTCGTCTCTTCGTCGTCTTCTCTCTCTCTTCTCTCTCTCTCTATTTTCTGTTGTGCTCCGTCTTTCTTTCTTCTTTGTTCT